TCCTGGGCTGGGGACATTGTTCAGCGTCCCCCAGGCCAGCTGAGGGAGGAAGGGGCACATCTGGACTCACAGAGGTTTTGTAGGAGTGGAGCTGTGCTCCCTTAGACTTCAGGAGTGCTGAAAAGCAAAGGAGGACTGCCTGCAACTAGGGAGCACACAAACAACAAGTGATTAATCGTTCTTTGCATGTTCAATTGGTTTTTGCTTGCACTCTGGTTTTTATTTTTTGGTGGATTCCTTTGCTTGGTTTTTTCTGTTGATTGGCGTTTTTTAAATTGGGATAGCCTTGTAATATTTTGCCCTTCACTTGCCTTTTACACAGTGCTTTCAGAGAATTCCTTCACCTGAATGAAGCTGACCTATGCACTACTATTATTATTATTATTATTATTATTACTACTACTACTACTATTACTGCTACTGCTACCACCTTCATTTAGAAGGAGGAGAATTTATTCTGAGATTAAATTATCTCCCTAAGACTGGAGGGGTTATTTTTACTTGTTTGGAACCCTCACCTGTCTTCAGATTTATTGCAGCAGATCTTTCCTGTCTCCACTCAGATGTTGCAGAACAGATCCATAACCTGTTTAAAGAGGTTTTTTTCTCTTAAACAGCATTATAGCACACAACTGTTGATATAGGAAAGTATTTAGGAGAGACAAGAAATAACTTTTCGCATCTTATTCACCCTGAAACATGGAGAAAAATTGATATGACTAAAAGATCCTAATTATGTCTTTTGGTCACTATCCTAGTATTCCCTGGCACACATTATCCTGCATAAATATTACAGACAGGCAGAAATTAAAATACTAAAAAAGCCACAACACCCTGGTTAAGGCAACTATCTTTTGATTCTTATCTGACATAAACACAAAATTAACTTCATGCCCTTCAAGACAAGATTTTTTTCTTAAAGGAACTTGAACAACTTTCTGTGGTCCATTTACTTCAGAGTTTCTTTTGCAGTTTCCTTATGCTCCCCAGTTCTGATAAAGTAATTTACAGCTGGAGGGTCTGGAGAAGATTGGATTTGTTTGAGGCTTTTGAATTTTGGATTTTTTGTTTTTTATGAGATGGGTGTTTTGCAGCAGGGATGAACTCAGCATCACAGAGCTGTGGGATGTCAGGAGGGAAGAGCTGGGTGTTGGGAACCTGAGCAGGATCTGGTGGAGAGCATGGAAGAGACACAGAGCACCCTGTGCTTTGCAGGCTGGTGGGAGCACATGGCTGAAATTCGTCTGGTCACCTTGAAGATGCTGCATTTCTCCTGGATGTGCTTGGGTGGTTTCTTTCAGAAAGGAAGGAGAGAGACAGGAGCACAGCGAGGAGGCAATGGAGCATGTTCCTGTGCTCCCACCCCCTCCTAACCCAGACCCCAAACATCCCTCTGAGCTTTGTAGAGAAGATGGGTGGCTGCAGAACTGAGCTGTGCCAGCAGAAGACTCTGGGGAGCAGTAAAAAATTGAAGCTGATTTCACAGAATTCCCAGAATCATCAGGTTGGAAGAGACCTTCAAGATCATCGAGTCCAACCCAGCCCCAACCCTTCAACCAAACCCTGGCCCCCAGTGCCACATCCAGGCTTTGTTAAACACACCCAGGGATGGGGACTGCACCACCTCCCCGGGCAGCCATTCCAGAACTTTATCCCCCTTTCTGTAAAACACTTTTTCCTGCTATCCAACCTGCATTTCCCTTGGTGCAGCTGCAGGCTGTGTGCTCTGGCTGTGTCAGTGCTGCTGCAGACAGAGCCCAGCCCAGCTGAGCACAGGCACCTTTCAGGAAGAAGGTGGATTCTGGAGCAGATTCCAGGGAAGTGGAGCCACCATCCCTGGAGGGATTGCTGAGGTGTGTGGACGTGGTGCTGAGGGACCTGGCAGTGCTGCTTCATGGTTGGACTTGGCCTTAAAGGCTTTTTCCAAGCTAAACAATTCTGAGATTCTGCTGATAAGCACTGGGTTAGTTGGTTTGGAAAGCTCAGGTTTGTATATTTCTATTCTGGGCATCAAATCCAACTTTTCTCTCTTTGAGAATGGTCAATACCTGACACAGTGTAGCCTGTGAAACTCCAAGTCCCATTTTTGCATCACTTTATGTAATTATGTCACTATTTAATCTGTTCTTTTTTACTGATTTACCAGGTGACCAAGCACACATGAGCTACGTGTGGCAACTTCAGCTTTCTGCTGACACCAAAGATGATTGATGGTCAAACTCCAAACCTCATATATTAGCCACCAACCTGAATAAACAAAGACCAGTGTGGCAGCTTAATATTAAAAGCTATAAAACCTTCCTGGGGGTTCATGGATTAAATCAGCTCGCCAAAATGAATTTTCAAAGGAAAAAAAAAAAAAAAAACAACTTTCTCAGGACTGAAGAAAAATGAGCACAAGTAAATGAAATAGAGCCATCCTCATCCAGCCGACTAAAGCCCTCCTGAGGGATGAAGAATTGCAATTTTAAACGTCCCTCAAGTGTGCAAGAGGAGACACAGTATTTGTGGATCCTAGGGAGGCAGCTTGAGGCTATAAAAGAACAAAAAAGCCTTTAAGGCACAAAAAACCCCTATCCCTGCAGACATAGCTTTAGTTGGTGAAAAATAAGTGTCAAAAAATAAAAACTTTCTGCCATTAAAATGAGTACCCATTAGCCCACTGGATGTTATTTTTCAGTTGTAAGAAGTGATTTAGATTTTTGCCATGCACTATTTTAATCTCTTGGGTCAATAAACCTTGATGGTGACTTCAGCCAAAAATACCAGCAGGTTGTTTACCATAACACGGCAGGAAACAGCTGGGCATTTATTTTCATCTTATTGTGATGCAATTACCAGTGAGCAGAGCTGAAAGCAGCGTGTTTTGTCTGCTCAAACAAATTGGAATTGTATCCAAAAGAGCAGGTTTCACTGCAAAAAAAAAGTCTTGTCTCTGAAACAGAGTAAAGGCTCAGTCCCAAGCCAAACTGCAGCTACCAGGGCTTGGTTCTCATTTTCTCTCTCCATTCTCAGCTGACCCTGTAAGATATCTCCATACTTCAAAGCACAATGCAATATTTCTTCCTGGCTTTCCAAGAAACACCTTTGTCAAAAGGGAGTGATCCTCTGCTGCTCTGCAAAGTTAATAACAAATGTTCCCAGCGTTGTGAAAGCACTTATTGAGAGGCCAGCTGCAGATTAAACTGTTAAAAGCAGTGACCTGGTTGCAAGAAAACTCTTGCACAATTAGAAAATTATTATTTCCCTCAGAGAGCTGTATTAAAACTTCTGTCACATCTGCATATTGGCCAGATGAGCATCCATATCCTCCTACCCATTAAATAGATTGTTATTAATCAAAATTTAGGAAATAAAAGCATTTTGCTGCTCTGGCTGCCTGTTTCTGGTCTCGTCTCACCAAGAATAAATGGAACATGTTGAATCAACTGAAATATATGTTTCTGCTCTATCAAGGTCCCCACCCAAATGAGCTGTTGGCTCAGAAAATATTTATCCTGGCAGACCACTTATGCATAACTTTGGAAGCCTTGATAGAAATAGTAGCATGAATTTATTGGTGTAGCTCTCAAAAACATAAATTTTGATCGCTGGCTTATACACAAGCAGAGTTCAAACGAGGTTTCCTGTCTCACCTCTTTTTTTTTCCCTTCAGATTTGCATAGTGGCATCACTTCCTCGCAGTTCCCAAGGAAAGCCTCTAATTGCCCATTTGCATAGAGATTTGGCAATTCCTCCTGCCTGTCGGGGTGACTCAGAGGGAGAATTTTCCTAACGTTTCATCAGATTGTTTTATTCCTTTTGTATTGATAATTGCACGCTGCATAATGCAGCTTCTGGCGGGAGCTGCTTTCCCATGGGATGGTGCCCGATGAACTCGGCCTGGGGTTCTCACCTGTGGAAGCTCTGGGAGCTGGGATTTGGAACTTCCTCAGGTGTGAGGCTGAGGGTTGGATTTGTGGTTGCAGTGGTGGAGTTCAGCCATTTGGGAGCAAAAATCCAGCACCAAACGGTGTTGGTGAAAAAAAAGAGAGATTCCGTTTGAAAGTTTCAAGATAATTTATGAGTTAATCTGATATCGAAGCCCTTTGATCCTTTATTTACATATTCAGCTGCTAATCCAGAAAAACACCCAAACACTTGCTTAATTTGAATTAAGCAGTTAATCCTATTGGGAGTTAAGTACAGATGTGAGGTCCTGATTCAGCCAAGTGGGAACGTGATGGGCTGGCCTGAACCACACTGCCCAACTTATCCCAGCTCAAAACTCACCAAATCCAACCATTCTGGAGAGATAAGAAGCACAACCCTTCCATCTGATGTCTCTTCATGTAACTCTGCCCTGTAACTCCTGTTTACTCAGCATCTGTTAAATAAAGTTGCAGATGAAAATTTCCCTGTTTGAACCTCCTTATTTTGGGGTCTAAGATGCTCAGATCTGCTCATTGAAAGTTCTGTAGTCTCCATGAAACTGAGGAAGACACAAAGTGCAATGAAAAGTAGTTGCAGGTTGAAGAATGATAATAAAAAGTCCACAAAAGCACCTAGAAGTTGAGAAATTTTGTAAAATTTGTCTTGGAAAGCAGTAACTCACCTTGTGCAAGGGAGAAAGGGACAAATGTCACCCCACTGACCAGGTTCAGATGCCACCAAAGACAAACAGAAAACTTCTGACTGTCAGTTTGCAAGGTGTGTCTGTATAAATGCTGTATAAATGTATAAATGTTCAGATGGATTTAAGATTGATTACTGCTTCTTCAGACCATGTTCTTTTCTCATTTTTTCCCCTCTCCATATATATTTTTACTCTTATGCCTTTCTTTTTCTCTTTTACCTCTTTTGTTCTTTACAGGTCTTCGCTGATCTTTCTTCTCTTTCCCTTTTGATACCAAAATTAATTCTGTGTTTATTTGACCTCCAATTTGGGCAAAAGAAGCAAAAAAAATTTACAGCACTAAGAGCAGCCATCTCTATATAAATTTCTCTTTATTCTCTTACAGTTGGTTACTATACGAGAAGAATATCAAAAAATACTCAAAGGGCTGCTGCCAGCATCTACCAGAAAGGAGTTTGAAGACACCATTTCATCTTTAAAATCTCAGGTAAATTCTTATTCTTCAGCATTTTAGGCTGGATAAAAGCCCTCTCTTCTAGACAGGAGGTTATGACCATCTGAAATTTGGCCAAAAATACTAAAGAAGTGTCAAAACCAAATTATGGCAGTGCTCACATGCTTCTCGCTCAGTGTCATATTTCACAAAACTTTTCTCCTTCAGTTTGAGATCTGCCATATTGTATTTTTTGATCCCAGACTTTTCTTCCAGGAAAAGCTGTGCTTTATTCAGTATTAGGGGTTTTTCCTCAGCCTTTCAGATACAGCTCAAAGTTGTCTTTCATCTTATGCTGGTTCTCCTGAAGGAATCATTTGAAGGCTGCCTATAAAGGGCAAAGAAGAGGATTAGAAAGAATTTTATTTTCTTTCCAGCCTATGTAATAAAGCAAATTGGATAATTTTTAAGATATTTGTCTAAATGATCATTGTGATATTTTTACATTTTCCTATTTAAAGAGGCTCTGTAATGTCTTGTCTTGGACATTGCTGACCACCAGTTTTTCTAGATTAATGCAGAATCAGTATGATTTCTGTTAACTAGACTATTAAATTTCCTAACAGGAGTATCCAAATGTCACTGGAAATAAGGAATTGCTGATTAATTGGGTGTGTTCTTTGCACATGGTTCCCACAGAAGTTATTTGGGGCTTTTCTGTTCAGAGTATTGGGAGCTGGAAGAAAACAAAATGTCACAATTGCCTGAACTGCAGTGAGGAAGGATTGATAGCCATAAACAAGGGTGATCACAGCTGTGGAATAATGGGAATGAGGGAAAATGCCACCTGTGTTTGCAGGACTGTGCTTGTAACCGAGCTGGGAAGGACTGGGATGTGGGATCTGGGATCTGGGACCTGTCCTGGCTGAAGGGAAGAACTGGGACAAGGACAGTGCCAAGCTGGTGGCTCAGAGCTGCCCTGAGCTCTGGGAAGAGCAGAAACCTGAGGACACAGAGTACAAGTTATCATCACATTATCATCACAACCTTATGCCTATTTTCAGGACCATTTTTCAAGAAATTATTGATCTACAACATCTCATTTCTCTTTCCTGCACAACCTTCTCTATGGAGATGATTGGTAATTTCATTTATTCTGGGATTTTTCCCCTTTTTTTCTCTTTGCAATGCATAACAGTTATTCCATAGCATATTTTGCTCTGCATAAGACACTTGCCCTGGCAGAGGCCACCTTCAATGGAAGTAGGAAATTCTGAAAGTGGAAACTCAATATTTCTATGTGCAGGGAGTGACACAACTAACATTCTGGCTGTAAACATTCTGCTTCCATCTCAAGGGATCCCTAATGGAAATTATGCTCTTTCTCATTTAAATAGTTGTGTGAAATAAAGAGTTAAGGGTCTGTTGGGGAGATCTGTTTCCAGTTCATAGTAAAAAGCTATTTTTTAAAGACTCCTAAAAGGACTCTCAGCACTGCCTGGTAGGAAGCATCACTCTGAACTCATACCACACCTTTTAATGAGTTAAAAAAATAAAAAAAAAGTAGAATCTGATATCCACCTGCAGAGGTTCTGTAAGCAGCAACATTTCAAAGGAGTAAAAGTACCTCCGCACATGAAAACCTGGGTGCTCTCCCAGAAATCCATCTCTGCTGGCTGCGTTCCCACGCGCACTGGCGTCGGAGCCCGCTCGGGGAGCTGGGCTCTCTCTGAAGCACAGGTGTCCTGCTCTTTGAAAATTGTTGAAATTCCTGTTTGAAAACATCAGACAAGAAGGCCACTGGAATCCCTGCACCTGTCAGGATTATTTATTGTTGGAGGAGGATGAAGAGGATAGGCTGGGTAAAAGCACCGCGCGGGGATAAAAATAAACAGCAGAAAATGAAAATACTCGATGCTTGGGTGAAGTTTTCTAAATGTGTTGCTAAATATAAAGGATTTGCTGCCTGGCTGTCTGCTCCTGGAGAGATGCAGTGTGTTAATAAGCATTAATTCTCATACACTTGGGGAACAGGTGAGTATCTCCATCACAAGAGCAGAAGTGCAGGGATCAGAGCACAGGAATCCCATGGGAGCTGCCAGAAGAGCAGGAGCTCCCAAGCCCTTGCACAACCCAGATGGTGCCACCAGCTGGGTTTAACAACTGGTTTGACTCTGTTCCTGAAGGAGTGAAGAGTGCACAGCCAGAGCAGAGCCAGGGAAGCCAAGAGAGCAGTCTTCTATTAAATATTAATTCTTCTACTCAGCTAAAGTGTTACTGCATGTTATTTAGGCAGGAGAGAGACCAGAAAAATTCCTTTTATGAAATGAGCACAAATATATTGATTGGAATTTTGTACCCTGTTTTCATGTGGGATGTATTTTACAGGTAAGTTTTCTGCAGAAAAGAGTCCTCCAAGAAGACCTGAACGCCTACCACGCCAAAAAGTACGGGCTTATCTTTGATCCATTTGTACCATTTCACACCTGTGGGTCCCAGTGCTTGAAGTTTTACAGCTTAATTCGAACCCTGCACCATGGGCGCAGTTTGAAAAGCTCCTTATTTTCAGTAAACAAGCATCTGAGAAGTTCTCCCCAGTGCTTAGTCAGTAGTGCTAGAGCAGGATTAGAGGAGCTGCAGGTGCTCTGCAAGTCTGGGCTTTGCCTGCGTGTCGAGGGTGGGGCGGCGGCTCCTGCACAGCTGCGGTGATGCCACCTCCTTTCAAGATGGAAAACAATGATGCAAGGCAGAATATTACAGATCACATCTTCAAAGGACCGGATCTCCACGAGCCTGAGCTTTTTTTTTTTTTTTTTTTTTTTTTTTTTTTTTTTTTTTTGAGAGGTTTACACCCTCCAATATAAATTATGGCAAGTGCTGCAGCCATAAAAAGCCTGGCTGTGCCTTTAGAGTAAGTGATTCACGTGGAGAGGTGAGTACAAGGAAACCTCCTAGGAAAGCCACTCCATCTTTACTGTATTTATAGACATTGATGGTGTTTCATATCTCACGTGAGGGTTTCTGCAGCTAAGAATGTGTGCTCGTAAAAATAGTGTCAGCATTTGAAAGGTTTAAGCAACTGTCAGAAGGTTAGCAGTGTGAGAGTTGGTGAAAATATTAATCCTGAATTATTTGTTAACAGGAATTAGGTGAAAATATTAATCCTGAATTATTTGTTAACAGGAATTAGGTGAAAATATTAATCCTGAATTATTTGTTAACAGGAATTAGCTAAAGCTAACTGGAAACTGAAAATGTCATAGATCCTTGGTAATAAGTCCAGCATAGGTAACTTTGTTAGATAAATAGAAAGCTCCAGACCCACTGCCCACTGGACCCAGCCCTGCTTTCAGCCTGTTTTTTATAATAAAATAATGAGGTGTAACTGACAAAAATCTCTTTCTTTTCAGGTAGCTGATGGACCAGTGGGATCTCCGTGATTGCCAAATGGACTGCTTTGAATAGGTTTGAAGATTTGGCTCTTGTAAATTATAATATAAAGATTAGTGGTTCTTTTGTTAGCACAAAAAAAATGAACTTCATGAAAACATATTCATAGCTCATTGCAGCATGGATTTTGTTGTATCTTCCTTCCATTATTTTTTTATCATTATTTTATTACAGATTTATGCTTTTGATACACGGTTTGACGCCACGCTGAGCTTGCTTACTGAGCAAGTAGGCTTTGCTCTACTAATATTTTTGTTACTCCTTCCCAATGCCATTTTTTTCACTTTTAAACATGAAGAAAACCCCATTTTCTATTATTATTATTATTATTGTCCAAGATATTTTGACATATTTTGACATTCTTCTGTGTCCACGTGTTTACATAATATTAAAATATTATTATTTTCTTATCTTTTTGTTTTGACATTATTGTCCTGCTTGAGCATCTCACTCACCTCAGTAGCCAGGGGGGTTTTGTGTGGCTTTGTTTTGTGTGCTGTGTTTCAAGGGATTCTTTGGCACAAGGATAGAGCAGCACGGGGCACTGCAGGCAGCTCTGGCTGTTGGTTGGAGACTCTGGGCACAGGGAATTCCTTCCTCGTGGGCTGATAACAGAGCCAGGGGTGTTGTTGGAAAAGAGTTGTGGGTGATATGGCCTTGGTGCGTGTGCCAGCTCTCCACCATGATCCTGGGAAGTCTGAGCAGATCCCAGAGGTTTGAGGGGCAGTGGGAAGCTGAAGGATGTGGTCAGCCCTCAGAGCTGGCCCTGCCTCCCAGCCATGGCACAGTGCTGGTATCTCCATGGCCTTCCACTGGAGCGTTTGGAGAGTGTGCATTTGGATCTGGCTTTGTTGCTCCTGGGCACCATCCTGCCAGTGGTGCTGGGATCAAGGCACAGTGCTTGAGAAGGGGCCAGAAATTCCTGTTCCGAGTCCAGCTGTGGCCCTGGCAGCACCAGAGAGACCCTGCTGCTGGGGATGGCCCCCTCTCCTGCCTCACCACGGCGTCACCAGTGCTCCTGTGCCACAGCCTGGCTGGAATTTGGAGGCTCCCTCTCCCCTGAGCGCCGTGCTGCCAAGTCCCAGCTCACCAGCTGGGCTCTTATCTGCTGCTGGCACCAAGATCAAGGAGGAGAGGCTTTGGCAGGCTGGCTCCATCCACCCCTCCTCCTGGCAGCTCCCTGCCAAGCCCCAGCTCTGGCTGCTTTGCTGCTTGTCAGCCCAGTCAGGGCCTGGGCAGGTTTTCCACCTTCCTTGAATCAACAAGTGATTCTCCTAATTACAGATAAGGCTCCCGTGATAAAGGAGGAGGTGCTGTGGCAGGTGCCACAAAGCCTGGCCTGGGGCGACGGGGAGATGTAGGAGCAGGAATTGTTGATGATTGAGCTAATTGAAGGCAGTAGAATGTTTTTACCCCAAAAGGTGCAGGGCAGTGGCTGGGCTCTGCAGGAGGAACAGGCTGTAAAACGTTTTTACCCCAAAAGGTGCAGGGCAGCAGTGGCTGGGCTCTGCAGGAGGAACAGGCTGTACCCACTGGGCATGGCCCTGTGTCCCAGTGGCAGAGATGGGGACAGTGGCAGCTCCTCTCATGCCTGAGGGGAATGAGGCATCTTTGATTTTTCTTCTCTGCTTGTGTTTTTTTCCATTAAATCTGTGTGGGTTTAATGCTTTTGACAGCCAGGAAAGGGTGTACATCCATAAAGAAACACATGGACACTTCTCACTACTTGAATTCTTGAATTTCCTTCTTTTTGGTGGAATTGAGTTGCTGATGTCACTGATGGTCATAAAGCAGTTTGAGAAAAGTAGATGTTGGTCAATCAGGGGCTTTCAAAACTCTTGTGGAACTCTCTCCAGCATCAGCTATAGCTTGAGGACCACTTTGAAGCTGCTTGTAAGAACTTAAATGTAAGTTTGGGTGGAATTCTCTTGTAGCTATTAACATTGCTCTGATCATTTTTGTGGCAAGTAAGAATTAGAGTCCAAACTGAAGGATCAGAAATATTTCCACAGCTATTTCTTGCTCTCTGCCTCTCTTTGCCCCCCTTGGCAAGGAATTGCCAGCTGCCAGGAGTTGGCTTCGTTGTCCCTAAACAATCTCTGGCCAAACCAGCTTCAGTGTGGTTACAACCTTGTTTCTATTTTATTTTTATTTAATGTACCAATTTTGCTCCGTGACAGAAGATTGTTTCACCCTCTATAAAACCCCCCAAAAGTCACTGTTACATTTTTCCCCAGTATCCAGGGAGGTGACCTTTATCAAGTGACACTTTATTTCAGTGCCACTCAAAGTTCTTGTGTTACATGGAACAAAAATGCTGCTTTTTGGCCCAGCTGGAAGGAAAGGGATACAAGGTCCCTCCTTCTGCTTGTGTCTGCAACAGAACTTTAATTGTGCAGGGGACAGCAGGTACTCCTGATGCTTGCCCAAATCTTTCCTGACCGTGGTGGTTTCAAACTGAGAAATGATTTTGCTGCACAGAAAAAAAAAATACTTTATAGTGATTAGAAGAAAATATTTATTGAATTTTCTGGAAAACAGGCACAGCTTTGATCCTGATGCTGAGAGGTCTTGACAGAGAATCTCTATAGGATCTGATTTTTTAAAAATTCTCTTAATGCACTGAAAGTCCTCCCCAAATCAAAGAATGGACTGGAGGCAGCACACTGCTAAATTATACTTGGTCCCATTTGGAGGGTACAAAGGAAAAGTAAGATGTCAGATATTGTATGAAGAAGTTTCAGAACACAAGGTCATTTTAATTCAGCCTTTTTTTTTCCAAGGAACTATCTTTTCCAAGCTTTGATATTTTCTTCAGAAAGGTCATTTCCTTTAAGCCTTTGTCATTAAAGACTTGTTCTTTAAAGTGCTCTATCAAAGCGTGCAGAAATTGCAAGTTACTGAAACTAAAATGCATGATCAATTTTAAGTCTGCCTACTAAAGCCCTCTTAAAATTAGATGTGCTTTGGTACTGGTGGCTTCTTTGATAAAGCCAGAGGAAGATATGCAGTTGGTCAATTCAAACCACCAAAAAAAAAAAAAAAGATGATAATTAAATAAAACTTTTCCTCCCTAAATTGGAAAAGAAATTGTGAAAAAGCATTGAAAGAACTGAATGAGGGTCTGATCCTGCAAAAATGTGTCTTGTGTGAGAGAAGGAGGGAGTGTGCTGCATGTGGGAGCACTTTGTAGCACTTACACATAGTGATTGAGCAGCTCTGTGGTGTTATCTGGCATTTGTCATAATGTAAATAAGGCAAACCCCTGGATAAAATATCGTTTATTTACCATTTGTTGCCACAATTGGTCTCTCCTTCACTGACAGGGAACCAGGGAACAAAAAGAGCGGAGATTGTGTCGTGCCCTTGTTCTGCCATCCCTAATCCCAGTCTCTGTTCTTCCCTTTATCCCATGAACTGTGGGATAGTTCATCCCATGAATTTGTGGCTACAGGTCGTAAGAGCTTTGCTTCCTTTCAGGCATCCTTGGGAGAAGAGATGTTTTCTTTCCTGGTAGTGCTCCATCTTCTAATAGCAAACCTTAATTTTCCTTTCAACCCAGATATGTCCAATATTCAGGGCAGTATTTTCAGCAGACTCTTGGGGAGATGGACACGGAGCTCACCTTCACACAAGGAGCTGAGAGCTCCTTTGGGCAGCTCTCTAAAGCGATTTTATCTGCAGAGCTGGGTCCCAAAAGCCCGCTGGATTCAAATGCTCCACGGACATACAGCTTAGTGGGAATGGAGATGGGCTTTGAATGTGGCAACACATGATTCAGACTCAGTATCAGGGCTGAAAACAAGGAAATGTGTGTTGGTAGAAGGAGCAAAGTAAAGGAACACCTTTATCTCAGCTGGGCAGTGAAGCTGTAATAATAACTTCCACCTCTATAAAATCTATGCAACAGATTCATACTTTGGGAATC